ACAAAGAATTTCTCGAGAGAATGTGTAGCTGTGTTGGCAACAAAATCCTCTCTGCAAAACGAGGAGAGAGAGAGAGTTGTTAACTGATGAGTCAATCCAGCTTTTATAGTAGTTTATCTTCGTGGTATTTCCAAGAGCATAAATGTTATTAAAAAAAAAAAATAGACGGTCATGACAGGAAGAACACAGTTAAAAAAAACACCCTAGAAACACTGAAGCCAAAAGCAATTTACTTTGCCAGTAACTGGTTACATTTCCTTTTGTTTTATTATTATTATTGCAAGAGTTGGGGTTGAGATGAAAGTTTCCCACACCTGCGCTGACACAGAATCTGTCAGAACCCATTGTAAAGCAAATATAGAAGTGAATGCCTGGGACTCACTTCTAGACTCTAGGAAAAAAACACACACACCTCAAAACTTGTTTTGCTATATTGTCTTTAAAAAGAGAGTCTTTAATACGTGAAGGAATTAAAAAAAAAAAAAAAAAGGGAAATAACAAAACATAACACAAGGGTTAGATGTCAAAGTAGCTTGGAGCCCCTGGGTCGCTGATTCTCCTGGAATTAACACCTATAGAAATAGCAGTGACTTTCCAAAGGTGAATCCTTGTTATTTTCATGGCACTGAGGAAGAGGAACAGATGGACAGTCATAGAGGAAAAGTTTGTGCTTTGTTTTTTTTTTCAACCACAGAGGTCTTTCAGGGGATTGGGCAGAAGAGTCAGTGAACCACTGCAAGGGTAATGTGCATGGCTCTCCCAGTTCTATCAGAACTCTGTGGCTTTGGTGGAAGTCTTGTCACCTACTGCTGAGTCAGGACCTACCGGTGGGGTTCCTGATGGTTGTCAAGTCTGTAGGGTGCTGTTTGTTGCTTGAGACATTAGGGAGTGTTTTCACTCCCTGGTGACTACCAATCCAAGTTATTAATATAAATACCTCATTGTGAGATAGAATGAGTGTGTGTGTCCATCTATTAGAGAGAATAACTTACAGCATAGGCTCTGGATAAAGTCCAGGTGCCTGGACTGGAATCCTCCCGTTACCAACAACCCATTGGATGACCTAAAACAAGTAATTTCATGGCTAGCTCAGTTTCCAGGCGTGTAAAATGGGACTCATCACCGCACTTTCTGTGGGTTTGCTGTGAGTTGTAAATGAGTTGTTGTATGCAAAAGTCTGACTAGTACAGAGAAAGTGCACGGTCAGTAAGGATCAGCTCTTATTATTATTAATATATGATATTAAAAACATTCATGCAAAGAGCATTGCCTGAAATGTGTGAGTGAGCCAGGCCAGGGATGGCTAGTAGAACAGATACCCATGGGAAAGCAACTGTGTATACATTGTTCTAGGCAGTTATGCTATTGGTCAGTATTCTGCTGCCTTCCAGAATGGCTTTGCTGGTCTCACCTAAAGTACTGGAGCTGGTGTTATTATGGAGTCTAGGATTTCGGTTCTCTCAGTAGGTACACAACCCTTAGCTGTTTTTTGTTTGTTTGTTTGTTTGTTTGTTTTTTAATAATTTTAAAAATATATTTTATTGATATTTTACAGAGAGGAAGAGAGAGGGATAGAGAGTTAGAAACATTGATGAGAGAGAATCATCGATCAGCTGCCTCTTGCACACCCCCTTCTGGGGATGTGCCTGCAACCAAGGTACATGCCCTTGACTGGAATCGAACCTGGGACCTTTCAGTTCACAGGCTGACGCTCTAGCCACTGAGCCAAACCAGTTTCGGCAACCCTTAGCTGTTGATGGGGCTTAAGTAAGTCCAGGGTAGCTGGGACCAGGTGGGTCTGTTTCTCCACCTGACTTCTGACCACTATTAAACCATAAAGCACTTATTTTCATCCATCTACCTAGCAAAAGATTTTTCTTGACCCCTGAGGAAAATAAATGTAGCTCAGGGACTAAACATGTTGGTCTCCCCAAAAGCCAGCCTCGCAGTCTCAAAGCATCACTTGGGATCTGTGGATCCAAAAGGTCTGGAACTGCACTATGGGAGCTCGGGTTTTAAACATCTGCTCCTCGGGGCAAATGTGAGACAAGATTCTGGCCCCAGCAGGATGCCAGGCATTTTGGCTTCCCAGGAACAGGGAGCTAAAGGCTGCAGGGTTTCTGTCTGGGTTCCCACGACAAACTGAAATTTCTGGTTTGAGTCCCCAGAGTTCAAGGGTCAGTACTAAAGGTGAACCCAGTTTTATAGGTGCCCAGAGTGGCGGGTATACACGCGGTCAGGTGAGCAGGCCCAGCTCATGGAGACTCAGAGGAGCTATATGGGCATCTCTATTTCCATTAGTCCCTCATTCATTCGACAAATTCATAGTATGCAATGCCGCCTCCTGGATGTGAGCTGGGAATGACGAGGGATGAGCCTTACCTAGCCTCTCAATGTTGCGTAATAAGAAGCCACAAAACAAGGCTAAAGTACAAAGAATAACGTGGAAAGTGATACCCAGCATAGGAGAAGGTCAGAAAAGGGGTCCAGAGGGCAGACTCCAAGAGGGATTTGAGTTTGAGACTTGAGTGATTGGTGGGATTTCGCCAACATACCTGAAATATCAGTGTCTCGTTCCTTCCAAGGAACGAGAGGCTTTTTTTTCCTCTTGACCAAATCCCACACAGAGCTGAAGTTTGTGTGACCAGCATATTAGGTGCCAGTCAGTTCTAAACCTGTAATTCTCAGAATCTGCTGGGGCAGGACATATGCTCCTCCGGTTCTGAAAAACAGCTCAAAGAATGGAGAAAACAGACCCGACCGACGTGGGGATGACTGATTGTCAGTTCCCGGAACCTTTGTCTTTATTTAAAACAGCCTGCTCAATGCAAGTTCTATCTCAAAAAAGGCCTTTGGGATTTGAACGCTTTTCTGGAAATGAATGCCTTTTAGGTTCAAATGCTTCTTTGCCAGAATTGTTGGGAAGGAAAGATCACAGTAACAAGTGTTAGAACAGAGGCGACTTTGTTTTGTTTTCTTTCAATGAAACGCCTCAGATCTACCCCCTCCGAGTTTGTCAGCTTTCTGCTCTGCGATTATTTTGATCCTGGGGAACATGCAAGCACAGTCCTTCCCCGGCGATCCTTAAAGCTTAGCCCTCGGGGCAGTGGTGCTGCAAGTCTTCAAACCAGGAGTCCACGCCCTGGCTCCGGGCTGAGGGCCCTGTCACTCCTGGAGCCACCAAACAGGCCAGATGAAGTCACCCTCCCATCCCGTGCAGCAGGGAGGTGGAGAGAAGCTGAGCCCTCTCTGCCAGTCTGGCAACTCCAGCAGTGTCCTCGGAGCTCATCCCACACACTCAGTGCTAGTCACTGCTGTGTGTTTACATGAGTAATGAGGCTGCCGCCGGGGGAGGGGAGTAGTAAGCCCAGCGCGGAGCCTCGCGGCTCTCACTCGGAGAAAAGCTGACATCCACGCACCAAGTCAAGTCCAGACTTCCAGGGACGTGGCCCGGGAGCGGTCAGGCATACGCTGTATAGCTTTCCGGGAGCCCCAGACATCCTCAGGCAGATGTTTGTCGACTGGAATGGGTAATGGCTCCTTTCTCTTTTGCTTGATTTGTGTTTGTTTGTGAGCTTGTTTACCGTCTGTAATTCCAGGCTGGCTTGGGGGATGGAGGGGGGGTGGTGGGGGTAGATGGTGATGGGGAGGGGGGAAGAGACGGTTTGTACTTTCAGACAAACGTTTTGGGGAAATGAGAGAAGGGAGAGGGGTTTTGGGAGGAGGAAGGGGGGTCTGAGCCAGCCGGAGCCCCAAAGCCACTTTTTTAAAACTTTTGCCTGATTGTAAAGGCAGCTCTATTGACTGGGTTTTAGGAATAGCCAACTGTTATCTACAGCATACAATCAAATTAGTGGGATTAGCTGTGTTTGTAAAATGAGTACAATATAAAACGTCCTGAAGCCACCGGTTAACTAACTGCATCGCAATTAAGAGGGTTCCAGCTGTCCAGACTTGGCGTTGTCACAGTCATAAAGAGTGTGGGTACCCACCTGGGAAGGTCTTAAAGGAACTGCTTGGGGTCTAATTCATTCCTTTGGAATTCTTCAAGGGCTAGCTGGCTAGTTGGTTTGTTTTACTTTTGTTTGACTTGGGTGACTGATGAAGTTAAATGTGAAAGCTGATGCCGGACAGCCCTAGTCCTCAGCTAAGCAGCAGCCTCTATCCCTCTGCTTTGCGTGAGGATCTTAAAAGAGAGTCAAGCTCAGCATCAAGGTTGAAATACAACTTTGATTTGCATCTCGTCTGTGGCTTTTAGAAAGTATAAATAATCTCCACGGAATCTGGCTAACCCCAGTGTGATCTTTGGAAGTTATTTTAAATAACCCTCAAGATGGTCATTAAAAAATATATTGAAAAGAAAAAAAAGAGCATGCTGAGTTAAATGTATCTGCCAGCTTTGTTCAGATTTGAAACACGCTGGTCACAATATTATTAGTACATATTATACATATAATAATATGTGTTGTTGTTTTTTTCAGATTATTATTGTAAATACCTCTCTCTCTCTCCTTATTTGTATAATTTGAGAAAATGCTCATGTTTCCATATTTGAAGAGAGATTTTTGAACATAATATTACTGTGATACTGTAATGGGCTGGCATATCACTTAGGTTTCTGAAAGGAGTCAAAACAAAACAAAGACTAATCTTGGAGCCTGGCTCAGGGCTGTCTTCAGCCCAACCTGTTTCTTTTCTAATAATGGGGAAAGGCATTTTCCTTTCATCATCCTTTAGCGCCAAGGGCTTCATTTTATTTATATTAATTAGACATGTGAAAGCGCAGTAGATTAGCTTTGGGAAAGAAGGTCAGATGTGTATGGTCTTCTAAGATGCAGCCCTTCCGGGAGAAAAGCATTAGATGAGGGCTGACACCAACAGATGCATACATTTGTTGTCTGCACACGTGACGGGGACCACTGGAGTTAAGATACTGGGTTTTGAATAAGGAAATCCATGCCAATGAAAATGTATATCAATTGCTCTCCATTTGTTTTCAGCGCCGAATCTTAAAGGCAGACCACGCAAAAAGAAATCATGCCCACAGAGAAGAGATTCATTCAGTGCTATGAAAGATGCCAACAACAATTCGGATGGCAAAGCCATTGCCAAGGTACAGTTGTTTGCGCCGCGGTGTTCATTTTTGCCGCACAGTTTTTTTTTCCTTGTTCTCTTTATCTCTCTACTCTGTGTATCTTAGTGGCAGTGTGCAATTCCAGATCTAACTTTGGTATTCACAGCTCTCTGCTATGTCTGTTCTCACTACCTCTCCTGCCTTGGGAGGTGGAAGGTGGGGGAGGGAGGTAAGCATTTTGATTAGTCAACAGAAAGACTTCCCACCTCCCAGTTTGGCCTGTTGGGTGAAGGACAGATGATTAAGCGCCCACGTCATTGAGGCTGGGATTTCATAGTAGGTGACACAATGACATAGTTTACTCTGCTTGGATCAAAAATAGACCAGCTGAACCATCCTTTTTCTGAATGTGTACAGCTAAATCTGCTTCAGAGATTAATGGAGGATGAAATTAGAAATGGCTAGAATTAATCACTTTAGTTCCATCTCTTTTTTTTTTCTTTTCAAAATCACCTCTAACTTACTTTAGAGTAAAATTAAAGACACATAGCAAAATGTTTACATGTATACATTGTTATGTTTTTTTTTTTAAAGATCTCTCTTTTTTAATTACATTTATTAGGGTGACATTGGTCAACATAGGTTTCAATTAAATTTATTAGGGTGACATTGGTTAACATATATGACAATGATCATATAAGTTTCAGGTGTGGGTTTCTATGTCACAAGATCAGTATATCTAACTGCAGAATAAAGGTTCAAATGTAAGGCTACTTTTTTGAGGACCCAGGCCCATTTGGCCTCAGCATTCTTTGGAATTTTGAAAGTATGTGCCTGAAGTATTTAGCACCAGGAAGTGTGAAGTACCACTTCATATTTTTATACTTATCTTTTTTACTTTAGTGAGTTTGGATCAGATTTCCATGGTTCCGTTTATGGGGTGTTTGCGTTTAGGTGTTGTTTCTGTGCCAAAGGCAGCAATAGTCCCTTTAGGATCTCAATTGAAGACTGAATGTCAATGGATACCACATTTCCAGACTCAAGGACTAAGCTTATGAAAGTGGGGATATTTTGATTATTGGTGACTTTGGAAGATTCTGATGTAGAAAAACATGAATTCACTTCTATGTTGAAAATCTACTGTTTTTCTGCCACGTACTCCACGCCTCTTCCCAGGGTAATGAAGCAAATCCTCAACATTCACATTCCGTATATCCTATCTTCCTGGGGCATTTCTGAGACTACTTTGTTATCATTGCTTCATGCTTCCAGGATTGCCAAGGGTTACAAAGAGATCAACCAGGAGAAAAGTATATTTTCTGGCTAAAACAACAACAACCAACTTCTTTCCCTAAAGTTATTTTTTGTTCTGTTCATTTCACCATCTGGAGTGAGCCCACCTGAATACCAAGTATGACATTTTCTAATAATTTGGACATCTCGGCTCCTGGAGCTGCCTGTCTAGGGCTTTGGTTTCCATGGTCTTCGAGGACGTCAGCAGGAACAGTGTATTCCCTGTGATGTGGTTTGCCATGTAATAAAGAATGGAGTGAGAAGGCTTTAGGATTGTAACATTCAGCAGACCTTGTACTACTGATGTCTGGTGTTGGTTCCCTGCCCCATATCTCTAAGATGACATCATGTGTTTATCCCGGCATTTCCTATACCTGAGCCCAGCAGGATGACGTCACTTGGAGTCACTACCAACGAATGCCTCTGGGGGTTTTATAAAACCCATACAACTGACCTGAAGGCGCAACCCTACAACATCTCTCTCCCTGGAAGGCAGCTCAGGACTCACACTAAGAACCACCAAACTAAAGAGGACAGGGGCCTGCTCTGTATTTGATGTTCACGGACTTATCCTTCGTAGGAGTGATGGTCTTCAAGCCATTTCTACCCCACCTCCCACCAGTGCAGCCTTTCAGAATTTTTACCTGGAGGAGCATTATCCTTCCATCGTTGGTTTTGATGATGCATGTATGGATATCCCACTGCAGCCAGCTCCTGGGAACTGGTCTAAATGCCCAATTCTTCTGGGAGTCTTGGATTATAGTCCTGCTATTTCAGTGGGTCAGGCAAGACCACTTCATGTACGAGTAGAAGAGAGACTGGTAGGTGTGAAGTATGGTGGGTTTATCTGATGACACCAACAAGTCCGATATAAAATCCCTACAGAATGAACAAGCCACATCTGGGCCAGGACTCCCATTAAAAAGGCACCTGTGTCATCAAGTGGTCTTTTCTCATGAAATGCTACCATAGAGATTACAAACCTGTGACCATCTGATCCTTTGCCAAGCTGGGAGCATCATTTCAGGTGACAGTTAGTTTGGCTTTATGACCAAGAGCTGTTTGACTTTTTCCTCCCCAAAGTTTCCCAAATAGACCATTTTTAATGACAGCTTTCTGCAGCTCCACCTGGCAGTGCACTCAGCGTGAGGATACACTGGGGTTCTTGGGTGCATGGCTGGAAAAACAAGTCAAGTCATCTACCTGTATCCCTCAAAGGCTGCGCTCTCTCAATGCGAACATGAAAACCAGCTTTACAAGACTTTGAGAAGATCATGGCTTCCCAGAGACAGCACAAGTCACGTGGGAAAAGGGTCCAATTCTCTGGAGATGTCATGAAGGTGTCCAGCACAAGTTCTGCTGTTTCCGTTGGGATCACCTTAAAGCAGCAGATCTGGGGCCTGAGCCAGAGAAGTCTCAGCCCAGGGCTCTAATGAGAGGCCTCTGCTGATAGAAGGCAAAGTGACTTCACCTCCTATAAGCACTTTCCAATGGCCAGACATGTGTAACAGGTGGTTTATAGCCTAAAAGAGACACAAAAAAGGAAGCAATGTCTTCTTCCATTGACATCACAAACACACTTTCAACATTTTACAAATAGGATGCTTTCATTATTTTTCCTTTTTTTTTTTTTCCCCATCCCATTTGGTTCTCAGAACTACCTCCACAGTTTATCCTCCTGGTTTCCTGAGCAAGAAAATGAGGGTCCCCTAGCACGTGTGTGGCTGAATTGAAATGATTCCAGCTTCTTTCCTGCTGGTTCAGCACATCTCGCTGTCCCAGTTAAAAGCTGGGTTAGTTATGTGGTTAATATCAAATAGGCGGTGGCTCGTTGAAAATAGTACATGTGGATTCTTTGCTTAGCACTTCCTCAAGCACTTTGGAAACCCCAAAGCTCTTAGGGAATTCAACAAGTGTGAGATGTACAAGTCGGGAGAAACAGGTCTAGTAATTAACAGTTACCATCAAGAGGGTGTGCTTTCCCAAGGTCAACATGAAGACCAGCTCTCTTTTAATATTTCAGTAGATAAAAATGCTGAGGATGTTTTGGGTCAATGTGAGAAAATGTAGGAAGGAACTTGGCCTGTTTCTATCCAGAAACGGAATAATGTCCTAATGGTCTCATTTATATTAACTGAAGAGATGTATGGAGCTAGTCTGAGAAAGGAAGCCATCTTTCACTTCTTAGGAAGCACCTGAGAGACACCAACTGGGAAGACACCAACCAAGGGGGTGGGGGGGGGGATGGAGGTCAGGTGATGGCAGTCTTCATCACCTGGAGCCTTTTTCTGTGAAGCAGGGAGTCTGAATGGCATTGGCCTGATTTGTGCGCCCCTCCGTGCTTTCCTTCTGTTTCTGGGTGTCTCTGCACAGGTGAGGCGGAAGGTTAGGCAGCTATCTAGACGTGGAGGGATAAACCTCTTTCTCCCTTAACAATGGCATTTCTGACCTAATAATATAGAAAAGTGGCCCATATCATTACAGTTTGAAGGCTCAGATTATTATATATGCAAACCTTATATCTACTCTTATTTGTACAAGACTGGGGTTTAGCACGAGGGAGACCTCTAACCCTAGAAGCCTGCCCAAGTGACAATGCATGACCTCGCTGAGCTCCAGTTTCCTCATCTGTAAGACGGGGCTAAATATGGGTCTTTTGTGAGTCTTGTGTACATTAGGTAGACTGTATAAAGCCCAAGCACTGACACTGGCACATTGTAGGTGCTCAGTTGATAAATCACCTTTCTAAAGGTAGGTTTTGTAAAACCTAGTCACTAAGATGTGCTTTTTCATTGGAAGTATGTTTTTATTGCCAGCTTAATATTTTTGTAGGAATGTCAGTGAAGTAGTATAGTGTTAAAAATCACAAGCCCTAGAGTTGAGACTACCTGGATTCCAACCCCAAACTTGCCACTTACTAATTGTGTACATGTCATTCATCCTCTCTATGCCTCAGTTTTCTCTAATATGAGAATAATAATTCACCTCCTTAGAGTTGAGGGCATGAAATGAGAGAATACCAGCCTTGCTGGTTTGGCTCAGTGGATAGAGCATCAGCCTGTGGACTGAAAGGTCCTGGGTTTGATTCTGGTCAAGGTCATATGCCCCAGATTGTGGGTTTGATCCCCTCCTGGGGGCACATAGGAGGCAGCTGATCAATGATTCTTAACATTGATGTTTCTATTTTTCTTTCCCTCTCCATCCCTCTCTGAAATAATAAAAAACATATATATTTTTTTTAAATTGAGAGAATTCCTAAAAAGTGCTTAGAAGAGCCTGGCTCCTAGTAGCCACTCAAAAACAGGTTGGGACCAAGGCAGATTAAAATGGGAGTAATTTTATGATCTCAGGAAGCCCTGAAATAGTAGTTTTCATCAAAACTTTAGACTCGACAGTCTAAAATTTGGCAATAAAAAAATGATGAAAACATAAAGTTTCACTGGATGTTTCCCTTAATATATAATGTTACAATGTACTCAAGTTTGAAAATACTGTCAAGTAAAAATTCCCCATGGAAAAATTTTTAATACCATTTCCACAAGCCCTTAAAAAATTAAAATCTTATCTAGAAGCTCAGTTGAATGAGTTGTGCAGGAAGTTTTATTTTTAGCAGGGCCAGTCTGAAGATATTAAACTATCATGTTCACTTGAGAGGCTAAGCCATAAAGAAAACCTTTTAAAAGGATAGATTTCCCTTTAATAAATAAGCATAGCCTTTTATGTTCTTAGTGCTTGGAAAGGAGAACCTGAAGGGAAAAAGAGAGACAGGTCAAAAATCTGAAATGGAAAACGTTGTTGAGTAAGTGGGACATTTTTATTCATATCCTTCTCCCAGCTTTTGCCCTCTTCTCTCCGATGTTAGATATGGAGATGTAAAGAATATTGGAATGTACACATTCCCCAAGGGCGCACTTGAACTTAAAGTTTGACCCTTTGTACTTCCCCCTTTTACAATTAAAATAGCTCAGCAACTTAGCGTTATATTTAACAGCCATCAAAGGGCTCTTGTAGAGCATGGCAGAGAGGAGGGAACATTCGGTTAGTCTCTCAGTAGGCCAAGTTCCGTATTTGCCTGGAGTCTGGGAGGAAGAACATCTGGAGCATTCACCACCATTTATTTGTTAATTATGAAGCTTTTCACTTACCCTTCGTGAGTTTTTAGCTGACCTTTACTCTTTTCTTTGTGGCAAGTTCACATTTCCTATTTCCTATAGTCTCAGAGCTGACCAAAAAGCAAGAAGGCCTCGTTAAAGAGTGGGCTCTTTCTTTTCCTCCTGAGGGTAGACTTGGCTTCACTCTCAGGTGAGATAGGGAAGAACCAAGCTGATGTTCCTGATGCCAGTGTCTGCTGGCATCTATGTGTCTTTCCAGGTTGCTGGAAAGAGTAGCAATAAGCTAAGTTTCCGGTGGAGAGATGGGCTTGTCTTTCCTGGTGGTACAAAGTGTGAAGTGTAGGACTCTTAGGGCAGAAGTTAGGAATTGTTCAATGACATTAACAGATGGTGCTCCCTAGGAGAAGTATATAAAGAGGCAGGAGAATGGCCCCACCAGATGCCAACACTGTTTCTGGTTTCACATCAACATACTTGTAAGGAGTCCAAAAGAGGCTGGGGAAAAAACTGGCCACCTGTTTTCTAAAAATAAAGTTTTATTGGGACACGGCCACACCCATTTGTTTACATACTGCCTAGGACTCCTTTCACACTAGAGTTGAGCAGTCACAGCAGAGGTTGTGATGGCCCAAAGTCTACCATATTCACTCCTTGGCTTGACAGAAACTCACCATCCCCTGGTCTAAGACAATTCTTATTCAGTGATGCCTCTAGAAAGGTTTTTGAGGGCAAGGGCAATTTATTGACTGACCCTTCCCACTCAGTGAAATGTGTCACTCGCTATGGCTTTGTCAACGGTCCAGGGCTGCGCTTGATTTGATGTGGCATTTTCCCCCCTTTTGCAGGTGAAATGTGAGGCCAGGTCTGCCTTGACCAAGCCGAAGAATAACCATAATAACTGTAAAAAAGTCTCAAATGAAGAAAAACCAAAGGTTGCCATTGGCGAAGAGTGCAGGGCAGATGAGCAGGCCTTCCTGGTGGCACTTTACAAATACATGAAAGAAAGGAAGACGCCAATAGAACGAATACCCTATTTAGGTTTCAAACAGAGTAAGTATACATATTTTCATTTTTGAAATATGAAAACTGCTCAGATTCTTTTGACTTGGAAAAAAAATATTTTTGACTCAGGATTATGTTGAAATCCTAATCTGGGGATGATGATGTTCTCTGTTTATACTAAATCTACAAATCATCCGAGCCAGGAATTTTTTTCCCTTCCTTTTTCCGCTACATTGTTCCCTTCTGGGGCAGTTGCAGTGAGATATTTATAGGCTTGAATCCACTGATTATGACTGGAAATAGACATGTTGAAAGTTTCTCATTTTCTGTTTTGTCAATCTTGAGTGTTTGCAACGCCTTTCTTCTGAGATAATAATATGACGTAGCTTTATCAGACACAGATGTTGCCTGTGAAAAAGACAGCTTTTAAAAGGAGGACATTTAAAGGTGGTCAAAACAACAACAAAGAGAAAGCATATTTTTCCTAAGCCCCAGATTTGTTAAGAGATAACAAAAACCTGATGACTTCAGAGGAAACAAGAAATAAACAAATTTGAACCGAGGACTCAATTTTGAATTACTTTGGCATGTCTGTTTAACGTTCCTCAGTATATTTTTTATGCATATCAGGGAACTCACAGCTGAGCAGAATTCCACATAAAAAAATTAGTAGAAGAAACCCAGACCCCGCCTTGATTTCACAAATGAATATATATTTGGCCTCTGTCTGGATTTTGTGGCGCACAAAGCGTGAGCTTCTGGCTTGGTACAGTATTTTCTCCCAACGTATCTTCCTAGATTAAAACCATGTGTCATGTTGATGAAGAATGTCAAACCTGCATGTTTTACATAACAATTTACATACCTAATAGCAACTGGCACTGATTGCAAGAGAACCCTCGCAGCCATTATAAACTTATATAACTACGAATGATTACAATGTTTGTCTGAAAACTGGTTGCTGGAAATAGAAGTAAAATTAATGTACTATGAACAGCTTTGTTGCATTATGCATTGGTTCAGATTAAATCAAGGCCGAGGCAGGGCTCTTGATAGCTTTGAAACAGTGCAAGGTTCAATGAGGCTTCTCGAACGTGTTGTGTCAAAGAGCCTTTTAAAATCGATTTTATTCTATATATTTTTTTAATTTCTCTTACCAAGGAATTACTTGAAGTCAATTTTCCCCTCTTGTAAAAGAATCAAATCCAAAGCATTCCCACTATCTGGTACAAGTGAAGAGTTGCTAGCGATTTGACATAGTTGTTTAACAACATAAACATATGCAAACCCTGGGAAGAGAAATCTGTTTGAAAGAAGTATTTTTTTGCAATACCATCCAGGCAAGTTAGGGGACTAAGTGGACTCATTTCCTCTGTGATGGAGTATCTTCCTTCCCTTTGATCTGTTGTATCACTTATGCCTCAAGGGTGAAATATTTTTTCCTGCTCACTGCAAGGCACCACATGTTAGTGAAATACAGTGTGAGCTTTATATAGAGTGCTGCCATCAGGCATTCTATGAAAAAGATAATCATACGTTAACTTAGCTGTTTTTTTATTGATTATGAAGAGTTCTTATCTGAAGGAAGCATCTATTATTACCCTTTAGTCAATGGCTTCTTTCTAAGAGTTGAACCAGTCCAGCCCCGATTTGGAAAAATCCCACAGTTCCCCCAAGGACACTGTAATTTAGCTCCTGTCTGTCTGCTGATGGCAACAGGACACAAACTTGTGTTGTCCTTTATCCTAAAAGTAGATCCATTTCCGAATTTGTGACTGTTCTTCTGAAATATTTTAAGTGGTAATAATATATCCTGTTATTGAGTGCCCTTTGGCAAATGGTTTCCTAAGAACTTAGATCTCTAGGGTACGTTAGTATTTCTTTTCTTTTTTTTTTTTTTTTTTCTCTTTCTCGTTGAAAAACAAAACAAAACAAAAATGTTTTAATTGACATTTCTTGGAAATATGTTAATGCAATGCTTATCTAAATACTTATTGTCCCTCTAACAGTTAACCTTTGGACTATGTTTCAAGCTGCTCAAAAACTGGGAGGATATGAAACAGTAAGTGTTTAAGCAACTTAAATGGAATAATTTTGCAATCTAAACCTCTCCCCCCGCTGCTTTGACCAAAATAGAGACAATACAAAAGCAGACCATCCCTGACTGCCTTTTCCAATGGGCTCTACACCTTTGGGGGTTTATGGGGCGGCTTTTGGAAACAGTCCCAATTAGTTCCAGGTTTGGCAAAATGGTAAACTTGTCGTAAAAACTACAAGTGGAAAACATATGTAACTCTCCCTCTGTCAGGGAAATTAGTTGGGTCTGTAATTTTTTCCCATGTTGAGAAAGGGCTATTATTGTACAACAAGCCAAGATTGCATAAAAGAAATTTCCCTTGGCAACATACCTGACATCTGCTCATGTCTAATATGGGAAATGTATTAAAGGCTTTCAAAAGTAATCAGTATTGGCCATTAAGGAATAAAATGCAGCAAATTCTCCTCTCATTCTGGGGCAGAAAGGCTTTATTAGACAAGGGTCAGCGCCGCATAAACAGGAAGTTATCAGACTTATTCAGAACAGGCTCTGACACTCTTTATCAGCTAATTCTAACTGACAGGAACGGGTTATTTTTAGCTCACGGACAATTTGATGGCCACGGATTTTTATAGCTTGTATTTTGAACCAATAAAATGTTAGAGCAACAAGCTAAGATTAAAATCTTGAAAGAAGAAGAAAGAGCTGCATTAATATAGCACACAGAGATGACATCTGTAATAAAATCAGTTGACATAGGAAGATGTCGTCATTGGAAATATTTTCTCCTCCACACAATGATCAGATTAAAGTTGTGCAGTTTCTTCTGCAGTTGAATAAGAAATTGTTGTTTCTTTCCTTACAAAGCAACCTGGGATGTCTCTGTGTCATAGTAAAATGACAGTAAGAGACACAAAATCAAGAAAATGAAATTCATTTTAGCCCAAACATAATAACTAGTGTTTCTTGGGCAGATATAGCATATTGTTCCACAAACTAATGGAATAGTTTGATGTCAGGAGCTTGGGATAGGAAAAGATGGCAAACATTATATGATTCAGATAGTCTGGTATTTTCTGTAGAGAGATCTGCTGTGAATTCTGACTAAAATTTCTTTGAGTAGGTGTGCATGTAATATTTTTAGTTTATGTATAGGCTATACATATATGTTGGTGAGGAAATACAATACTGATATGAACTATATGTAAAATGTGCATTTTGTAGACATGAATTTACTGAAAATACTTGTTTTATCAAGTGCCCTATTTAAAAATAAACAATGTTATTTTTTTACTTGGTTGGATCTGCTGAGGGAACAAAGAATGGACTCTTTGCCTCTGTGACTCATAGTTTTGCAAATTCTCGAGCTAATTATAGCTTTCATCTATGTGAAAAAGATGATATCTTATTCAGGGTTAGTCTCATAAATTTAGGAATCAACCCCATAGCCTAGACTTTTAAGTTTCAACTTTTAGTGTTAAGAATAGGAGTATACATTTTTATGAACTGTGACTACAGATAAGTTACATGATATTGCACAATATTATGAAATGTCTTTTTAAATCCAGGAACTTGTTGTTATTCACTGATAAGGAGAGTGCTAGCAAATTTCACAGAATCAGTTTTTCCTGCTTTTGTATCTTCTGTATCTTCACAAGGACTTTTTTTTTTCCCCATGAAACTGCAAATTGGTGTTGAATGTACAAAAGAAACTTCTGCTAAGTTTCAGGGCATTTGCAGTACTCTTTGAATAAGTAGTACTTAATTCTTTTGTTGGCTGAATGAATGGATGGGTGAATGATCACATAATTAGAAAAATCACCTAAATACATACAGGGTGGGGCAAAAGTAGGTTTAGAGTTGTTCATATGGAAAATAATACAGTAATTCATAAATAATGACACAAGAATAAACTCTGTTTCACATACTGTAAAACTATTTTTGCCCCACCCTGCATGTATTGAGTATCTTTTGTGGACATGGCATTGTGTTGGACATTCTAGGAGATGCCAACATATCTAGGCCAGTAGTTCTGGTTGCTTACCAGCCACAAGAGTTGGCAATAAGAGGTACGATAGAAAAGCTCCTGCACCTCCTCATTTAGAGATGAGGAAAGGAAGACTTATTGCTCTGATGACAGTTGAGCAGAATTTTAGAGAATGGATGGAATTTAGATCTGGCCTTCCAGGAAAAGAAAATCAACTGGGGAAATAAAACATGGAGGTTGAATAAGGTTGGGCATAGCGAGTTTAAGTCACTTAAAGATGAGTGACTAGCTGGCCAGGATGAATGACAATGAGAGAAGGATGGAGCCCAGTGAGTAGAGATCCTGGATGCTAGGCCCCAGAGTTCTTCAGCAGGCAGCAGGGGGATACCTCAGAGACTGTTATGCTTTGCCACTTATTCTGCCTTCACTGTGTGTGAAGGTGGAGTGGAGTAGAGAGAAGCTGGGATGTAGGGATATGGAAGACCAGATTAGCATCTGCCTTTTATCTGGTTACCAGTTTCACGTCACTTCAGCAAAGCCACAGAGGACTGGTGACCTCTATGATGGCTCTTTCCCCTTCTTCCATTTCCATTCACACGTCAACTCCCTCATTGCTCATTGGGTCCCTCCCATTCTTCATAACACTCCAGATTTTCTCATCTCACCTCCAGCGGGGAATCTCCATAGCCACCTTTTTATGAAATCTTCATCTGAGGCCATAAACTAGATGGAGCTAATTGGTGGGACTTTTTCTTCCCTCCCTCTCTCCCTTCCTTCCTTCTTTTCTCCCCCCACCCCTTTTTTTATATGCCTCATGTTACCTATTGGCCCTGTAGGCACTTAAGGTTGCCACTCCCATTCTACACTTAAGCTTTTGAATCTCCTAGTGAAGAATAAGTTTCTCTCTTGGTATATTTTGGCTAATGAAATGGTGACATGTTCAGTGAAAATTCAGTTTTGAATTTATTCCAGAAGCTGTATGAATAATATCCAAAGCCTGGGGACTTAAGTTGTCATCACAGTGTTACCAAAGGACACTTATCTGTGAGATTATCTGATACCGGAACAAGTGCAAACTTGTCATTTAGAGCTCAAAAGAGGTCTTAGAATTGTCTAGATCAGTGGTTCCCAAAAGTTACTCCACAATAAGGGTTCAAGTTTTCAATGGGGAACTTGAAAGTATAAGCCATTGTTTAGGCCTCCACACTGACATAGTAACTTTGTTGTAGGGCCTGAGCCTGAGCACCTGAGATTCCCTTTTCTTAAGCTGTCCAGGTGAGGTGAATTCAAAGCCAAGTGTAACAGTGATTGTTAACACTTCACCTCATGGGTCATAGCTTCAAAATGGCATCCCATTTAAGTCAAAGACTAGAAAGCTATCTTCATGCCATTACTAAATAAACATCCAACATATTAGCATTCTGTTGACTCAAAAGAAGCCAAAATTTTCCCATGAGTATTTTTCCATTTAATAAATGGTAATCTAAATTGGGACTCAGTAAGCTATTTTCAGTTTTGAAAAATGTAGCACCCTAACATTTTTTATTTTTCACAAATTGGCCTTTGTGTAGAAAAAGATCCTCGCCATGTTCCAGCCCCAGCCTTTGTTTTACAAATGGGAAAACTGAGGTACAAGGAGGTGAAATCATTTGCATGGATCATCAGGGCATTCTCCTAAATCTTGACAGCTGAGAACTTTGTGCACAATTGTGTTACCCTCCATAGCTCTGGAAGTTACAGAAGGTTCATAAGTGATCATTCTTTGAGCCTTCCATTCTCTGCAGTCCTTTATTTATCCAGATTGCTTTCTACATAATTTGGGTGATTCTTGGAAAAAAATATTTAATAACCTACCTTTGTTGGTAGCATCTTTCAGTCAGTTCTTTGTATCTAACATGATCCTTAGCAGATAAACTATAACCTGCTGAATCTTTATCTGATTCTTGAGAAAAATGTGTCAGTTTAGGAAATGAGTCAAGAAGTCTGGATGGTGTACATATTCAGCAATAATAAAAACATTTCAAGTTTAAAATTTGTAAATGTATCTCTTCTGCAATTAACTTGTGATTGGATAAAGATATCCCTCTGGAATTCCTTCTGGTTATAAAAAGAGGCCATCTTAATTGGTTTGTTTTTGTTTGTGGTTATAAACTATTTCAAATCTTCTGGTTTGAATTGTGGATTATGGATTATTTCATTTCAGTTCTTCAGTACCCTCACATTTAATTTTGAAAAAGAAAGAGGAGCAAAAGTTTTATTTTAAGCCTTTATAACATTTGACTAGTGGCTATTTCGGTTCTCTTGGGGTCCTCTACCTTTGCTGGAAATGTACATTGTATCTCTGCATCCTTAGATTTAGAGATTATAAATATATTGAATGGATTTGATTTCTGGAAACAAACAAACAAACAAACAACAACAACAAAAAAACCCTGGCATTTTGATTGGTTGGCAATGAAGACCCTTCCTTTGCAGTTTTATTTTAGAGTATTGGTACTGACAGTTGAAGATGTAGAACTGGATAAAGTTGCTGATGAGCTAAGAGGCCTGCACTTTAGTTTCTGGTGAAGCAATTAAAGCTCACAGGGTAGCTTGGGATATTAGCAGGATGCATTGAATTCAAGGTGGTTTGCTAAAGTGATTTTCATTTGGCTACCCTTTTGATGGCCTGCCAGAGGCACTGTTTGGAAAGAGGGTAGTAGAACAGGGAGATGGGTCTTAAGTAAAGCAAGAGGCAAAAGACCATGCACGTGGTGCCTTTGAAGAATGTCAGCTAGCAGCTCCAGTCTTCCCATGGGTGAGACAGGACCATCATTTCTCATCTGGAAGAAGAAGTTGCTTATCTTCTCCCTGGAAGGATTAGACTTTGGCATCAGATTCTGACTTTGAAGAAAGATGACAGTAAATGACAAAAATGAGAGAAATTCTGTCATTTCACGACATCCTCTCAATCTGCTAACCCTAGTTCTCTGGACAGACAAAACCTCTTGCTTAATTCAAAATTTGCAAGGCCAAAAATGATGTCATGTAGTTTTGAAAAGCTCCAGTTCCTGGAGTACTACCAGGAAAAAAAAGTCATCCTCCTTTAATTCAGCACACCCTCAAGGTGTCCTGAGAAAGACGCTGTTTCTCAGAGCAGCCTGGGCAGCACTGCTTGCCGGAAAACTCTCCTTCTGACTTCATGTTTCCTGCGCATTCTTAAGCCATGGAAACTCCAGAGTCCTACAAGATCTCTGATTGCTGTTTCCTCACCAGGCCACAACAATGCCAAGATTATTTCATCCCTGCAACCTCAAAGGGAGCAAAATCAAGGTTTGAAGTCTGTGTCTTGGCTTAAAACAGTTGTCCGGTTTTTCTTAAGTGACAGGATATTTTCATCAAATGAAATTGTGGAAGGGACAATTCCTTTCCCACTCACTGGGCCTGTTTTCTTTTATTTTCTTTAAAAAAAATATAGAGGAAGGGAGGAGATAGGAACATCAATGATGAGAGAGAATCATTAATTGTCTGCCTCCTTCAGGCTCACTTGAGCAGAATTAAACCCAGGACCCTTTGGTCCATAGACCAACCCTCTATCCATTGAGCCAAACCAGCTAGGGCTGGACCTGTTTTCTTTACAGGGTGGGCAAGGTGAAGAGTTAGCTTCAGGCCACCTTTACCACATCACCTGGGTTCTAAAGCGCAGTTTGAAAACCGCTGTATTGATGAGCCCTGAAACTTCATGAACATAAAAGGTGTGGAGTGCTTTTCAGAGTTTCTCGGATCTGACCACACTGGGGAAAGAAGTAACTGTCAAGTGTTTTCCAAGTATGATTGGGTCTCTCTCTCTCTCTCTCTCTTACACACACACACACACACACACACACACACACACACACACACACACACACCTAGATTGGTTTATTTCACTTGGGTGTGGTCTGCTCAGCTTTTCATCTTGCTTCATGGTTCATGGTATGGGGCTGTGCTTCCTGCTAAATCACCTTGAAAGTTGCAACCTCTCTTTCTGTTCGTGATGCCTTCGCACCCTCAGCCCTCCACCTCCGTGCCTCTGCACCTGACTCAGCGCCTTGAGACAGGCAGCACTAGCAGATGGGTTGCTGTCCTGAACCCCTGTCATCAAAGTAAGGACCTTGAAGGAGATGATAGGGGAAGCTATCAATCCAATCTTCTTCAATCCAAAAGAAATAACTGCCTGATGAATGTGGCCATTTTCTTGAGGAAACAAAGAGCCAGAAGTTCTTTGTAGCTTTAAAAACCTAAAATAAATAGAGGGAGAAGTTGAGCATGAACATGAACAAGAGGCCTGAAGCATAGGGAAAATTGATCAAACTAACCCCTTGGCTAGATCACACTTTACCGCTAAATGGGGCTGTGGGCTGGATATAAGGAAGCAGCAGGTGGTTCTGCCCCGGATAGGGTTTAAAGCACATTGGACAACAGAATAAAAACCCTAAGTAAATGAGTAATTAGGCCTGATGCAGGCATATTACAACAGAAGACAGATTTATACAGGTGGGAGCACGATGCCCAGTAGCTGGGCCAGGAAGAGTTCTCATGTCTTTTCCTCTCTCCTAATAGGGCCCTGTGACCTATTATAAAGTTTGGATAATGGGAGGATGCAGACCTTGCTTGCTTTTGAGCCTGTGGACAGCATTTGTATTAGAAGTGCTTCTGAAAACACAAAAAAACATAACATTGGGCACCTAGGAGCACCGTGCACTTAAAAGCATTTAGCAGTTGGAAAGAGCACATTTTATGACTTTACTGTGGAAAGAAAATGTCTCAAAATGGCCCGATTCATCCAGGCTGGCCCGTGGACCCTCGGGACTCAGAGAGACCTCTTCCTTGGAGGCCAGGCCCTTGTGGTCTTCACTCCGGATGAATCCTCACTGGTCAGAACTACTTAAAAACAGGAGCCTGCTGGCTTGGGGCTGACACAGACCCCTGGCCTGCTGCTCATGGCTTGTTAGCACCAAATGGTGCTTGATGCTGGCTTCCTTGCTGCTACATTTCAATCCTAGAGGGAGGAAGATTTTGGTTTCCATTTTGAGAATTCATTATTTATTCTTAAAGAAGTTTTGTCAGCTCTGTGATAGGCAAGTATTTAACAGGGCATCCCCTAGTCTAGATGATAGAGTGTGGGAGGGGGACATGGTCAGTTTCCAAAATTATCCCTATCAGCCATGGTCTCTTCTTCATTACATTTTCCACAATCTGTATTATTTTGTGTAGGTGTTTGGCCAGTTGTTTATTGCTGACATCCATCCCTTTTCCCCTCCCCAAGGATGCAGTCATGTTGGGTCTGGTTGTCATTGTTGCATCTCCGCTGCCACACAGTGCCGGACAGATGGGAGATGTTTAGTAAATGCTGAATGGATGGATGTGTGCATGGATGGATTCAGATATAATTGGAACTTATCCGTGACTCTATGGGGTGAACATAATAGGAAAACCTCTGGTCTCCCTAGAGACAGGTGCAGCTAGGACAGAAGGAACCATAGTTTTATGGGGTTCTTTAAGAGTAACATTTTAGAACATTATTAACCTAGCCCACCCCCTTAGATCCTTGCTGACCTCATAGTCAGGCTCTTTGCCCACTAGGTCAAAGTTGAGAACTTGTAGCAGAAGTAATACTTCCTACAGTCATCTGTGAAGCAAAGGGCCCCTGTAGTTCTGTATTATCACCCCGCTCCAACCATGGGCTCATCAGGAGGCCATTCTGATATGGAGGCTGCTTTGATGTCATAGGAAAAGGTCGCTCTTGGGACCATGAGACATCAGTATGAACCTTGGCTTTGCCATTCTGCCGCTGTGTGCCCGTAGGCAAGTCATGCAGCTTCTCATCGGAGTCTCCCTTCCTTCTATAATCTGCCTCAGAGGCTGATGGGAGGATTAAATGATACTATGGATGTGGAAAAAAAAAAACTCTTTATCAAATATGGAATAAAGTGTACACGGGATCCAAGAGTGACAGGAGTGATGGTCCGTTGTGAAGTGATGGCAGGGACAGATGCAGGCTGTTTCCTGGCCCTGCTGGGCTCCCCAGGCTCACACACCCCATCTGAGAGAGGGTTCCTCTTCCTTGATTCTTCCTGATTCTCTCAGAGACCAGCCTGAAATTGTATCACCTAAAAGGCTGGAGGGAAATTGTAATTAAATATAACACAATCACCAAAATATGTATTCTGAGTGTTTTGAAAGGGGCTTGAAACCGTTAATTCTCATCGAAACCAAGCCACAAAAAAAAGGAGGGTTTATTTTTAGCCACACCTGCATGAGGTCAAGGTGGTTCTTTCTAATGAGAACCATTGAAAGAAATTATTTCAAGCGTGATGTATGTGAAATTGAACAATGCAGAACTCGCATAGTCTCGGGGTCCCACTTGGGCCTGTGGAGAAGGCTTTGTGGAAATGAAGAGGTTCTCTGGACTTGAAATGGAAAAGGTACCACTTACCTTCTAGTATTTAACTACCTCTGCCCTCCCCCATAACGATTACAAGGTTCAAGAGCAGATTTCTTCCCCCTGGATTACTGTCTTTAGCCCCGAAGTGGACTCCAGGGGCAACTTTGGGGTAGTTCTCACCAGAAGCCTCCTGCTCTGATTGTATGAAATGCCACGGGCCCTGTGGCCATGCCCTGCCCCCTCCACATTCCACTCACAGCTTTCCTGTGACCTAATTTAGAACCTTTCACGGGGGCCTTACATCTTGCTCTGCCTTCCTAGTTCAAGGAAACACTGGGCTTGCTGGGATGTCGCAAATGATGGGTTTCCCGCAATTCATCATCTGCCAGCTCACGCATCTGTTATTTTGTAAAAAAAATCTTAATTTACGTACGGAAATAGAATGAAAGAAAGAAAAATAAATAAAACTAGTGTGCTACAGTGTGCCAGTAGATTGCATGCTGTTTGTTTTTATTCACCTAACTCAATAATGTATACGCCTCGCATTTTAACTTTGGAATATGGTCCTTTTCATAGGATTTGATGGATACCCCATTTCCCTGACCTAAGTGGATAAAAATAAACAGCTTGCGCGATATGTATACTTGTAGATTTTGATTTTGTTTTGGTGGTTAGAGGAGCTGTCATAAAAATGTAGCTTGAAATGACTGCAGATTCCATAACCAACTTGATCAGTTTAATTCATTTATGTCGTAATTTATTTAGTTTTTAAAGCAGGCAACGTATCACAGAGTTCAAAAGCCAGAAGATATAATAGCATGTTTGGTGAAGAGGGTTTCTCTCCCCGAGGCCACCCTTTCCCACACCCCCTTGAGCAACCTAGGTTAATTCTGTTTGTTTACACGGATATACTAAGATATATATTTTAGGAATGGACCATTTTATTTTCTTGTGATGCTGTATCACATGACATCAAGGAACAGAGTACAAGTTTGAGACCTTGGGGGGCAAATAACTACCTAAGTTAAGGTGACCAGACGTCCTGCTTTTGGCGGGACAGTCCCGATTTTTAACAATTTGTCCCACGGTGTTTTAGATCGGGACTTTTTTAAAACACCGCGGGACAAATTGTTAAAAATCGGGACGTCTGGTTACCATCAAGGAAGACGCCTTGGATGAAAAGACACTAGGGGTGACACAATGCAGAGCCAAAGGTAGAATTCCATTTTTACTGTAAAGCAAAGCGCTGAAAGCGAGAACTCACTGTAAAACCATGTCCCCACCATGTATGCATTTGGACTCCCCTGCTTCTGGGTTTCCAATACAGACCATTGTCCTCTGACTGTTGCATATGTATTGAATCCTGCCACTGCGAATCTCTTCCGATGCCAGATTGAATTTCCCATTGCCATTCTTTCAGATAACAGCCCGCCGCCAATGGAAACACATTTACGATGAATTAGGTGGTAATCCTGGGAGCACCAGCGCCGCCACGTGCACCCGCAGACATTATGAAAGGTAAATTTTTTATTTTTTTTTTTAATTTTGGAAAGTTGCTTAATTGAAAGTGTGTTAATTAGAAGGCATTTCTGGTTCAGGGCTAAGACCAGAGGGAAAGGACCTTTTAGGAAACAGAAAAATATCCCGCTAGCATTTTCCTTGGCATACCTCCTTGTGATTTTTAAGGGACATGGCTTTCTCTGGTTACTGGGGCTAAAATTAGATGTTCTTTTAAGTTTGCCTTTATCCTGTGACCACCTGCCTGACAGTACTGTCCCCCAAACCCCCACCCAAGCTTAGATTACTCAATCTGTTTTCTGAGAACCTTTAGAATCTAGGAAACACAGGTCCGCATTGTTACTAGGAGGTCACCATGTAAATATATTAACATTAAAATGTGTTAATGTTGAATGTATTAATATTGCAAAGTAGGCATTTCTTTAATAAGGAAATTGGCCCGAGATAAGATCTTTTGTTTTCTCCTATCTTGGTATTTTTATTCCATGGCTATGCTTTTGACCTGGGCAATTCTTTCTTGCCAAGCTCTGTGAGGTTTGGTTTTCTAATGTTTAAAGCTTCTTCAGGAAGGTGATAATAATGCAAACAAGAAGTAATCAAATCAAATTAGACTAATCTGAGGGTTGTGTCCACAGGAGTATTTTCCCCTTTGAATTAGGACTGTAATACCCAACATCGAAGTCCAGTTAGATAAACCATGCTTGATCCTTGCTCTGTGCTTCAAGCCCATATTTAATTTATTTAGGCCACACCAACTTCTTTATCAATGGCATTTCCCTTCTGAAGTGTTGACAGACTCAGTTCCCTGATTTCAAATTCAGAGCTTGTGAGATCAAGTAGAGGATGTGTGTGTGTGTGTGTGTGTGTGTGTGTGTGTGTGTGTGTGTTAATAACAGCCGTGTGTGTGTGTGTGTGTGTGTGTGTGTGTGTGTGTGTGTTAATAACAGCCATGGATAGAATGAAGCAAGACACAGTCAGCTGAACAAACAGGCCAGTGAACTTGCTTGTAAGTTAAAACACAACTGATAAATTTGATGTTTTTTTTCACATAGTCAGTTACCATTCCAACTTCAACCCATATGCTTACCACCCACCTTTGGATCCTACAAATGAATTTCAGCTAATACTATCATCTAACTCATTAATCCTTAGTCATATTTCTTTAGACTTCAATTATATTTTTATCTATATTTTATTTAACACAGAGCCTCTTTTAGTATAGCCACTCAATGAAACTTACAATGTTTTTGTAGTTTTTATAAGACACTGAATTGTGTTTAGTACCCCATGGAAAATTCCCACAAAGCATTCCTAAGAGATTGCCTTACTTAATAATGTTACGATCCAGAAGGATTTGTAACAGGAATTCAAGTTACTATTCTTCATAGCATTGTTTACAATATGGTACATTAATTTCTCAAGTGTGAGTGTGATTTCTCTCAGTACTTAATGCATAAACCCACATTCTCACTGTACGTAACAGGTATACTACGAAAATATTAGCTCAAAATAGCATTGTTATCTCAGGTGAGTAAGTAGCATCCAAGGTATCATAATCAACTTGGTTTTGACTTATGATTCAAGGCTTTAATAAGAACATTTTCATTAGAAACTGATTCTATTCTGATGGTGAACCTTTCTTACTTCCAGGTGCAAATGTTCCCAATATGTGAACCATCAGACTTAATAGCAATTAAAATTTGAAAAAGGAATGTGTCTAAGCTGTTAGCTAGCTCACCCAGTTGAAGAGTGAAAAATCAATCAAACATATTATAAGGCATCACTTGGTTAAAAAAAATAGATATGGTTTGGGATGGAAAAAAAGATTGACTTTAATTTACTCTAGCACTTGTGGATAAAACTGACCTCAATCTTATACAAAATGGCAAGATATATTCTTTTGAAGACTGTGTACTTTGTTTCATGATTTATCTCTTCTTGGAAGAGCAGATACCTCAAATTTTAGCAACTAAGAAATATTACTAAAGATGTTTAAAAATTTCTCTTCTCTACTCATATTTGGGAGTATTTTCCCTTTGAATTAGGACTGTGAAATCCAACATAGAAGACCAGTTAGCAAACCCATGCTTTATCCTTACTCTGTGCTTTAAGCCCATACTTAATTTATTTAGGTCACACCACCTTCTTTATCAATAGGATTTCCCTTCTGAAGTGTTGACTGACTCTGCTCTCTGATTTCAAACTCAAAGCTTGTGAGATCCAAGCAGAGGCTGGATAGTTCATAAAGGTTTGGTTTCCCACTGGATTACATTTTCTAAAAATATGTTTTAACTGATTTCAGAGAGAGGAAGGGAGAGGAAGAGAGAGAGAAACATCAATGATGAGAGAGGACCATTGATCGGCCTCCTCCTACATGCCCCACATGGGGGATTGATTGAGCCCGCACACTAGGCATGTTCCCTGATGGGGAATTGAACCCTGACCTTCTGGTTCATGGGTCGATGCTCAACAGCTGAGTGACACTGGTAGGGCTGGAATACATTTTTTTTTTTAAATTTTTTGTCTTTGAATTTGAACTGTGAATTTGTCTATCAGTAATGAAAACACAGAAACTACACTAGGTACCAACAAAGAAAATTTACTATTGGGATTGCTTAAACAAGTGTTGGTGTGGAGCACTACATGAATATAGGTCACAACCAGTTTTCTTAGGGCTGGGAAGATAGAGAAAAGAGGTGTTGCCTGCCGAAACCGGTTTGGCTCAGTGGATAGAGAGTCAACCTGTGGACTGAAGGGTCCTGGGTTTGATTCCGGTCAAGGGCATGTACCTTGGTTGCGGGCACATCTCCAGTAGGGGGTGTGCAAGAGGCAGCTGATCGATGATTCTCCCTCATCGATGTTTCTAACTCTCTATCCCTCTGTCTTCCTCCCTGTAAAAAAATCAATAAAATATATTTAAAAAAAAAAAAGAGGTGTTGCCTCACAGAGAGTGGGCCTCACAGATCTGGGGTTCAGATCCCTTCTGGGGAGAAGCACCCAACCTATGCTGGTGCTTCAGAGGAGGAGCCGGCGGAGCTGGGCTCAAGCTAAGTTACTGTTGGGTTGCCTCTGAAATGAACAGCAAGAAAAATACAAATAGGTTCCTTCTCCCTGGACCTGGTAGGGCCCCACTTGCAGAATCCCACTAGGAAGAGAGCTGACAAACGAGACGTCATTGACAGAGCCCCAACATCACCAAACAGAGCACAGAGGGTGGAACTGGCGATGAGACCTTAATCCCCCTGCTGAGTGGGAATCCCTGTGCAGAGCCTGAGCCCAGGTTCAAGCACAGCTGGCCCCAGGTAATGAGCGAGGTCTTAAACCCTGCCTTGGTGTGTCCCTTTACTGTCTAGGCCCCTCATATTGTGGTGATCAGATATGAGGGTGTCTTGAATAATTAGTAATTAATACAAGTTAAGTTGCCAAATTTGCAGATGATAGATTAAAAAAAGAAATCAGCCCAGCCACTGTGGTTCAGTGGTTGACTATGAACCAGGAGTTTACAGTTCGATTCCCAGTCAGAGCACATGCCTGGGTTGTAGGTTAGATCCCCAGTGGGTGGGGCGGGGAGGGGGGGAACGTGCAGGAGGCAGCCAATCAATGTTTCTCTGTGATCATTGATGTTTCTATCTCTCCCTTTTTCTTCTTCTCTGAAATCAATGGAAATATATATTTTAAAAATAAATAAAATTTAAAAATCAGACTCAATGTAAAATAATGCGACTCTTCCTCATTTGAACCCATCATGATTTTAAAGGAGTCAGCCATGTTCCTGTGTGCTGTGGGAGGAAAGTTTAGGAATTACTGATCTCAGTGGCTTTACTTCCCTTTTATGGTTTCAGCGGAGAAGGGCAGAGGACGCTCCGATCTGTCCAGGGACCTGACAAAGTTCTGCTTTGGGCAAAGAAGAGCTGAAGTTCTTGGCTAACACTGTACTTAATGAGCATGGCCTATTTTACTCATTCTTGCTAGTCCCAGGCTATGCTAACACAACTAAAACAGGTGACTAGATTGGTGAAGGACCACTGTTTTCAAAAAGGGTTCATGGAGTTGAAAGAGTCAGGATGTTGTGGGCAAGCTTCTAGCAGAAGATGATCTTGGAAATCTGTAAATCCTTTTAAACCAGAGGGGGTTTTTCCACTGTCACTGGTTCCTCTGGCCTCTCATTCCTTTCACAATGGTATAGACACTTGGTCCTTTTCCTGTTTCCCTACCCCCAGCTTCATTGTTCTAGAAGATGAAGAAGAAATGAGTGATCTCCCCTGCATTATCCACTGATTTATTTTTCATGCAGTGTGGCTCAACGTTTCCCGTAAATGTTTTCATTTTCCTACAAGGAAGAAAAAAAGAAAATAGCCGGTTCCTCAGTAAATGTTGCTTGTGTATTAGTTGTGCACTTTTGGTTTATTAATGAGTGTAATAATGAAAGTGCGAGTTGTTGAAAAGAATCAATGGGTGTTTTTATTTAAGGCATAGTAGGAATGGTACAATGCCTGTGAATGCATCATTGTTGCTGAAGGCCTGACGCGTCCACACTTGCCTCTGATTGGCTTAAATCAAATGGGTCCACGCACTTCATAAAAATGTCTTTGTCAGCCTGCTTCTGCTCCCAACCCTATTCATCTCTGTCAGTTTTTAATATCAGTACCAGGCTCCTGGCCACAGTCCATTAGTACTGTACTTAATTGCTCATGTTACAGCTGATCACCAATATAAAAAGCATTAATGTTTCCCCGTCATAAGACTGTTGCTATGTAGATGTCTCAAACTCAGCAAAGCTTATGAAGTGTGGTTATTCTGGACATTTCTTGCTCAGGATTTATAGGTCAAAGTTACTGTCGATGAGAATGTAAAAAAGAAAAAAAAAAAAAAGCCACCTCTCCTGGACAGGAACCTTTGAAGGGGAATGTTTTCTTCCTTACTCAACCCGTATGGAAGGTGCTCCCAAATGCTAGCTTCCATCAGGCAAGGAACAGAAAAGGGAAATGATTACTTTTATG